TCATTTCTCCCAAGACTACTTGTTCATCCTCAATCTTGTCCAGTCTCCAATCTTACGATAAGAGCAGCTCAAGGATCAGAGGCTGGCCAAGAGCAATTTATGAGAGGATAGCTTAGAAGCAATAGAAACTGCTGTCAGTTTCTAGCTGTCTGGCTTATGTTCCATTTTCCAAGCTCAGGTATGAGAGAGAAAAATGTGTTTTTCTTCTTTTCCTTTTTTTGGTGGGGTGGGGGGGAGAGGGGCCATATCTAGTAGGGTACAGGGCTTACTCCTGGCTCTGCACTCAGGAATCACTCCTGAAGGTGCTTGGGGGACCATATGGGGTGGGAGGATCAAACCCAGGTCAGTTGTATGCAAGGCAAATGCCCTACCCATCACACTTCCATGCCAGCCCCAGAAATGTCTTTTTAAATGTAGGCAACTTACTTCCTCTCTAGATAATCACCTATAAAAATCAAGATACCTTTTCTTTCAGACACTTTGTACTGTTTTTACTGCTGAAATAGTGTGTCTGTCATTCATGACACTTGTTTATTTTGCTGTGGCACCCCTAGATAGAGTACGTCTTAAAGTCCCAAGTCTTAGAAGACTGGTATTATTCCCAGAAAACTCGGATTAGTATCACAATATAGTGACAGTTTTAGCTGCTTGAGATCCAAATAATAATAATTGCATTCACCAGCTTAGTGACTCTAAGACTAGACATGGATTTTATGATTGGCATAGGGTTGTTATATTTTTTTTAAATTTTTATTTACTTATTTTTGATTTTTGGGTCACACCCAGCAATGCTCAGGAGTTACTCCTGGCTCTAAACTCAGGAATTACTCCTGGTAGTTCTCGGGGGACCATATGGAATGCCGGGTATCAAACCCGGGTCAGCCGCATGTAAGGCAAATGCCCTCCCCACTGTACTATCACTCCAGCCCCAAGGGTTGTTATATTTTATTTTTTTTAATTTTATTTATTTATTTTTGGTTTTCTATGCCACACCTGACAGTGCTCAGGGGGATCATATGTGGTGCCAGGGAGTCCAGGTCAGTCATATGCAATACAAGGTCCCTAACTACTGTACTATCTTTCTAACTCCAGGATTACATTTTCTTTAAACCAGAATTTATGTTTTCTCTCAAGAGTGCTTCTTGCAAGTCACTGAAGAGAAAACCATCACTGGGCAGACATTGGGGATGATCTAGATGATGCCTAAGACACAATCGCTTCCTACAAAAAGAATACGGCTGGCTGGGAAAGATAGTATATGTTAAAAATACAGTGCTGGGGAGATGGCTCAGAGCACTGGGGGCCACCAGAGCTACACCCTGCAGTGGTCATGTGGTTTCAAGGATTAAACCTGGGGCCCAGCATAGACCAGCATGTGCTCTGGCTCTGTGAGGTCTTTTAACATCAACAAAATAATGCAGGGCCACTGAGACAGCTACCCATGAAGACACAGTGTTAAGTCTGGAGATACACTAGAGACAGGCCACCAGAAATGCAATCCCTCACTGTCAAGAAAAGGTGTCATCCCATGTAGAGGGAAAGATCGTGTGCAAAGCCTCAATGGTGTGAGAGAGAGCATGGTGCTACAGGCAATGTGCCTCGAGCACAGGGGCGGAAAAGGAAATCTCTGAGAAGAGATGCCCCCTTTCTTCCCAAGGCTAATAAACAATAAAGAAGAGTGTGGGGCTTTGGACAAAGGAACGAAGACATTACACCAGCAGAGATGGGGTATGGGCCAGGCATTCCGTGCTTAAGGATTAACCCTTGTAGAGCTCAAGAGAGTAGAGGGGGCCAGTCTAGGATGCAGAAAGGAACGGGAAAGGAATCAGGTTGCTTATTGTTCTTCCTCGGTTGGAGGCTTAAGGTAAGAGAGGACAAGATGCTTTCTAGCTTACACAGCCCAGCTCCCAAGCAGTGGTAAAAGAGTGACGGGGCCTGGGACAGAATCTCTGCAAATTCTCATTGCACAGTTCTGTGGCGGAAGTGAAGAGCTGATAGCACTTCACTTGTGTCTGTCAGCTCTGATTGACGACTTCCGGGAAACTGCAGGAACTCATTTCAGTTCAAAACAATCAATATACCTGATGCCAGGGAGCTGTGCGCTAGACACAAAATGCTGGACACTGAGGGTACAGAGACCAGTGTAACGTGGCCTCTTCCCCTAGGGAGCTCACAACCTAGATGGGAATAGGAGATTGTTCTGTTTTGGTCACTGAGACAGAACAGACAGTTAGTTGACACTGAGCCGTGGGTCCTGGGACACAGGAAGCTGAGAAACTCCCGCAGCTCACAAAAGGGCAAGTCGTCTGTGCCCAGAATCCTGGGAGGCTTCTCAGACAGGGAGATTCACCCTCCTCTCCTCACCCTGCTTCCTTACTGGGACTTATGGGATTCATTAGCAAAGAAGAGATCTTCCAAGTAGTCAGAACTGCATTTGAGAGGCCTTAAAAATACCATAAAAATCTGGATTAGAAAGCAAGATGGCCCATGCAAGGTTTCCATGAAACAGATAGGGCTGGGGAGGTAGCACAGTGAGCAAGGTTTTGCCTTGCACCTGACTGACCCAGGTTCGATCCCCGCACCCCATAAGGTCCCTGAGGCCCAGCATGTGACACACTCGCATGGCTTCCCTTGGGGGGCAGGGGGCAGGGCAGTGCTAGGAAGGCCATGCAGCAGTGGGATTTAAACTGGGGCCCTGAGTATACGAGGCCCCAGCTCCAGTCCTTCCAGTTAACTCCCTGGATACAAATTTCTTTTATACCAAGCTAAGGTCAGAGCAAGGCACCTGCAGAAAACTGTCTTTGAAGGAAGACCTCAAGAAAACTCGAAAAAACAAAAGAGTACACACCCAAACAAATGAATTTTATTTCCTGCTAATTTATGTGGGACTTTTAGATGGGGGATGTCCCAAAATAAAACAACTCCAACAACTTCCTCTAAGAGGTCACAGCTCAGAAAGGTGTAAATCACTCCTGAATTTAGTAAGTTGTGTCTTCCTTTCAGCACTTGTTACTTGTATGGAGAGCATAATTATCAGCCTCATCGCTAATGGTTTGCCAGCTCCCTCTGAGCATGAACTAGGCCCTGCCCATTCATTCTGTTAAATGTCACCACAACCAAGGCTGAATAGGCAAAGCACCTGACGGAGTTGAGCACCACAGGTGTTTAGTAAACATAGTTCTAGCACTGAGGAGTGACAGGATGAATTGAAAGACTCAAATATCTTCCACCCAGTGTTTTTCACCCTTTGAGAGTTGGATAAAAGCAAGGGACTCTCTTGCCAGAAAAAATAAATCAAACATTTTGGAAAACATTTTACATATAAATGCAGGATCCACCATGGCCTGAGGGGTATGGCGGACTGAGCCAACGTTCATCAAACTCGTGAATGACAGAATCAAACCTGAAATGCTGATTTTCAGGTTCCCTCTTGGGTACTTGTCCCACTACTGAATAACAATTTCAGGAGGACCACTTCCTGTGGCTTTCAGCTTTTGAAATTTCATTCTTTTCTTTCTTTCTTTCTTTCTTTCTTTCTTTCTTTCTTTCTTTCCTTCTTTCTTTCGTTTCTTGAATTAAGAATGATATGCAGGAGAACCTGGCAAGCTCTGAGACTTCTGTTGCCCAGATATAGTGGCCTAGGATCTCTGCAGAGGAGCGAGGTCATGGGACACATGCATGGTTTCGTAGAAGCATGAAAAGAAGCCTAAGCAGGCCATGTTGCTCAGCCGAGGAGGCCTTGCCTTGCATGTAGGAGACCCAGGCTTTGGGGCCTGGGACTTTGTTTTGTTTGGGGGTCACATCCAGCTGTGCTCAGGACCTTTTCTCCTGGCTCCGTGCTCAGGGATCACTACTGAGGCAGGGCTCGGGGGCCCAAACGCCGTGCTGCTCTACTATCTCTTCCCCCCAAAACACACACTATTTATTTATTTATTTTTTATTTATTTATTTATTTAATTTTTTGCTTTTTGGGTCACACCTGGCGATGCACAGTAACTCCTGGCTCTGCACTCAGGAGTTACTCCTGGCAGTGCTCAGGGGACCAAATGGGATGCTGGGAATCGAACACGGGTCGGCTGCGTGCAAGGCAAACGCCCTACCCGCTGTGCTATCTCTCCAACCCCACGCACAATTTTTTTAAATAAATAAGATAAGCCAAACATGGTGAGAAAGTCTTCCAAGCAGAGAGCAAACTCTTCTCATATGTTTTCTTTACAGGAAGTCAAAGACGTGTGACTCAAGATCAGACCTCTGGCTTCCAAGCCAGCACTGTGCCCATCCCACCAAGACATCATCTGCAACGCCAGAAAATCCAACCACCACAGAGCAATGCTGCAGCTGGGGCCAGCGAGATATCTGACAATGCTTAGAACTCCAGGGGATCTAGGAAATGGATTCAAGGAACACATTCAGATAAGTCTGCAAATGCTATAAAATAAAAAAAAAAAACCAGTTCTTGACTGAGAAACTGAGAATGTCAATCTACCTCTACTTGCCACAAACCATGCATTTAACAAAACTGAATGTAGCATTTTCACTGTGCAGTCCATACTGAACAAGAAAGTAACTGAGAATGGGGTCGGCAGGGAACAGTCTCACAAATAATACAACTCAATCACCTGCTCTTCATTTTCACTGTGATAACATGGCCGAGTGCTGGATCAGCCTAGAGAATACCAAAACTCAGCACCAGGCAAAGACTAAGGAACAGCCAGCTATATTTCTAGCTCTATGGCTCCAATACCATCCAACCCATGCAGTTGGATTTTCAGACCTCTGCAAAAGCTGCGTACCATCCTTTGTTTGTTTGTTTTTTGTTTTGGAGTCACATCCCACAGTGCTTAAACCTGGTTCATGCTCAGGGATCATGCCTGGTGGTGCTAGGGAGACCATATGGGGTGGTGGGGAGCAAACCGGGGTCAACTGTGTGCAAAACAAGCACCTTAAGTCTCTCTCTGGCCCCAACACTGTCCTTTTTAACAGGCCCCTGCCCTCTTTACCTCTTGTGCTTGAACTAGGTGCTTGTATCGTCCAATGCCATGGGTGGGCTTCGACCTGTGCTGCCGACTGGAACTCAGCAGAATGCCACCTGAAAGAGAGATAAAACACACCCGTTTCAAAATCCCTCCAGAGAAGTGTGTTCATGTGTGAGGAGACGAGCTCCCCACTGGAAGGGAGGAAATGTAAGCAGCAGCTGCAGGTGGGTTTAAAGAAGAGAGAGACTTTGATATTCAAATAGCTCAGCCTCACCCTTTTCTCTCTCTTTGGCCCCTGGGATATATTCAGTCCCCACATCATTTATTTATTTACTTACTTAGCACTGTAGCACTGTTCTCCCGTTTTTCACTGATTTGCTTGAGCAGGCCCAGTAATGTCTCCATTGTGAGACTTGTTGTTACTGTTTTGGGCATATAGAATACATCACGGGTAGCTTGCCAGACTTTGCCATGTGGGCAGGATACTCTCGGTAGCTTGCCGAGCTCTCTGAGAGGGACGGAGGAATCGAACCTGGGTTGGCAGCATGCAAGGCAAACGCCCTACCCACTGTGCTATCTCTCCAGCCATTTACTTACTTACTTTTGAGAAACACTGATGGTAAGAAAACAAAATATATTCTCACAGGACTCCTGTTTTACCTTATTCCTCAACAGCCAATAATCCTTTTGTGGGGCTGGAATGATAGTACAGAGGTAGGGCACTTGCCTTGCAGGCAGGCTACCCGGGTTTGATCACCAGCATCCCATATGGCCCCCCGAGCACTTCCAAGAGTAATTCCTGAGTGCAGAGCTATGAGTAAGCCCTGAGCACCGCCGGGTGTGACAGTCCCCACCCCACCCCCCAGCACACATAAATCCTTTTGAAGTTTTCTAGTTAGTGTTGTATAGTGAAAGGGACTGGTGGCAAATATAACCAGGAGGGGAAACAATCAGATTTCCACAAGGTTAAAAAAAAATCTGATTTGGTTTATTTGTGCTGGGTGTAGCCAGCTCCAATATACCTTGTTAACTGAATCAAAATAAAGAAAAAAATCTTACGTTATAGACCAATGTGTACGCAGAGTATTTCTAAGTGAAAAACAGAATTTCCATATATGGAGTATTCATTTGGTAGATGCAAAGATCCAGAATTCCCTTAACTATTGGCATGCAGAGATAAGATTTTCCTTTACTTCTCATTAGTTTTTGTTTTATTGTGTTGAGAGGTCATAAACAATTAAGGGGCTACTCCTGGCTCTGTGCTCCCTGGTCATAATCCTCATTACTTTTATCCACAATTACAAAGAATTACATGAAAAAAAAAAGGTGAATTGGTCAAGTTCATTCAGCAAGTAGAAGGCAATACTACAATTTAAACCAGATCGCTCTAACTAGACTCCAACAGCCACTATGTTACAAATTCAAGTTTCTACATCCAGGGTAACCTGGAGCAAGGCAAGTGAGCTCCTCCACCCACCCCAACAGAGCCCCAGTAGCCAAAAACCTCTAGAACTCAAATGCCACCATGCTTATAGCTGACTTCCACAGGCTCAGTAGAACCTCATCCATGAGTGAATCTGCTGGAAAACCCAGGTATGCAGAACTTGTGACTGAAATCTCCAGGCTCACATGAAGTCGGAAATTGGTGACCTCTTCCCATCTCCTTGTGCTTGCAGCCTGGCAGTCACACCCAGGAACTGCCTCTGGCGCCCTATAGGCTCATTAATGACCAAGGATCAAACTCCAGTTTGGCCGTGCAAGGCAAGTGCCCTACCTTAAGGCTTCTCTTTTCTAAAACGGGCTTCTAAGTAACCCTTCTCTTGTTGAACCAAGAACGAATCCTGGCTTCCAGACTTCCCCTATCTTTATAATGCGCATTATTTCATCAAGACAACTTTGGCTTAGTGTGGGTCTCTTCCATGGAAAGCCTAATCCATATTTACTATTATACACCAACAACCATATAGTTACTGGGACAGTTACAAAGAGCACTGAAACATTACTTACTCTGGAGACATTCAAGGCACATTAAGCATGATGGGAAAGCCAATGATCAAATTTTGTTGTATAAAATATTTCAGTGAATAAATGAGCAAGTTTGTGAGTACCTAAAGAATGAAAAACCAACTTTGTTTTGGAGAAGAGGGATGGAGAGGGGTTGAGGACAAAAATATAGGATCAGAAGTGGTACCAGTTCATGTGGCCAGACAGTGGGTAAGGGTTCAATCCCTAATATTCCATATGGTCCCAGAACACTGCCAGGAGGGATTCCTAAGTGCAGAGTCATGCGAAACCCCTGAATGTAACTGCATGTGGCCCCAAACCAAAACAAAAATAAGTAAAATTAAAATTAAAAAAAAAAAACAAGTGGTACCATTTGTTTTAGGGGTCACATCTAGTAGTGCTCATAGACTATTCCCAGCACTGTGCTTGGGGATATGCAGTGCCAAAGATAAAATCTGGGACTCCCAAAGCAAAGCATGCAGTCCAGTCCTTCTGGATGAACATACAAAGCATGTTTATTTGATAAATATTATGATCACCTATCGTGAGAGCCAGCAACAATTCCACCCTTTCATCCACATGAATGGCACGCACTAGATTTGTGAATCAATCCAATATCCACAGTGGCCCCAATCTGCACCCAGCAATGCCCAAGAGTTGGGGCTAAAAAATGTACAAACACGAAGTTTCTGTATTAAAGAACCTCTGACCGAGTGGGCAAAAAGGTACAATAATGAGGGGTAGGGGAAGACAGGGTGTGTGTGACACAAGTGCTGTCTAGAATAAAAACTACTGGTAAGAGGAGCACTGAGCTGGAAGTGACAGGAAAGGATTCTACAAGGAGAGTGGACTCATTGGCAAAACTATTAACATTTTTAAATTACAAGTTGTGATGGGCTGGAGCGATAGGACAGCTGGTAGGGCGTTTGCCTTGTACGTAGCCGACCCAGGTTCTATTCTTCCTTCGCCCCTCTCGGAGAGCCCGGCAAGCAACCGAGAGTATCCCGCTCGCACGGCAAAGCCTGGCAAGCTATCCGTGACGTATTCGATATGCCAAAAATAGTAACAATAAGTCTCACAATTTTGTTGTGAGATGTTACTGGTGCCCGCTCGAGCAAATCGATGAACAACGGGAGGGCAGTGCTACAGTGCTACAGTTGTGATAGATGATAAAAAGAAAAAGCACAGAAGGTTATAGCAATACAATATTATTAGGTAGATTAATTTTAGACTGGTATTTCTGGGAAGGACTCTGAGAAAATCACATTTATATGAAGACCAAAATTCAGAGAAAAACAGTAATAGTAAAAATATCCCTGAGGAGAAAAAAAGTGGCTAAAAGGTAGGAGAGAACAGAAGGCTTGCTTTTTTTTTTTTTTTCAATCTTATACTCTTTTGTATCTTTAAAAAACTTATTCAGAGGCCAGAAGTAGTACAGGGGGAAAGGCAATGAATTACAAGTGGCCAACCCAAACTAGATTCTGGGCATTGCACATGGTCCCTTCTGCACTGCCAGGATTAATCTCTGACCTCAAAGCCAGGCCTTTTACAGCTCCCGGCAATGCCACAAAAGGCCTAAACCTCCTTGCCAAACTACAACAACAACAACAAAACTTGTTCAGGGCTGAACATATGATTTGCATATGGGAGGATCAGATTTGAGCCCCAGGATTTCATGGTCCCACAACCTCTGCTGGGAGCATTTCAGGGCCAGGAGCAGTCCTTGAGCACTACCATGTATGATCCAAACAAACTGTTACGTGTATATACACTATACTTTTTTTAAGTTATACCTACAATCGAGTTATTTCAGGCAGAAGGAACAGCATGTCCTACTGGCACAAAAGTCCCAACACGGGGCTGCAGCGATCATAAAGCGGGTAGGGTGTTTCCCTTGCATGCAGCTGACCCAAGTTCGATTCCCAGCATCCCATATGCTCCCCTGAGCACCGCCAGGAGTAACTCCTGAGTGCAGAGCCAGGAATAACCCCTATGCATCACTGGGTGTGACCCAAAAAAGAAAAAAAAAAACAAGTCTCAATAGGAGATACAACTTGGGGCAGAGCCTGGTACATTGCAGGATCGGAAAGGTCCAGTGCCGGGAAATGAACCAAGATGGTACTGAGTATCTAGAAACTGAACACAGTGGTTTGGGGTCTTTGGACCTTGTTCAAGATTGCAGATTCATGCTAGACTGTCCTAGGCAGGGGAATGGATGTCTCCTGTTTGTAAAAGGTCACTCTGGTTGCTGCCTGGGAAGGGGGCGGGTAGAGAGTATGGGGACAGGGAACTCAGCCCCAAGCTGTCACTTAGCTTAGCTGGTGACACTCTGGGTCCACACTCCTCTCTCTAGTCCTTCCTCCACAGCTGATTAACTCACCTTTCTAAAAACAAATCTAACATGTCCTCTTTCATTAATTTGATGATTTACTCACTGAACACACACTATTTTATGTGTTTTGTGTTTGCTTTTTGTGTTACCAGGAATCAAGCCCAGGACCTCACACAGGCGAGGCATGCATACTCCCGCTGAGTCGCAATCCAGTCCCAAACACAGACATATTCAATTTGTATATACTGTTTGCTTTTCTGAGCTATACCCAGTGGTGCTCAGGGGCTATATCCTGGCTCAGCACCTGCTCCTGGTGGTGGTCAGGGGGACCACGTGGTGTGAGGATCGGACTTCCTTATGCAAAGCCTGCACTCAGCCCACTGAATGTCTCTCTAGCCCCAAACAAACAGTATTTTAATGTACTTACTATGTGCTAGGCATTGAACTAGACACCACAAAGATGCCCATAAGTGAGACAGGAAAGGTGTTTGCCATATACAAAAAAATATTTAAATGTTCAGTGGTTGTCCACAGCCCAAAGACCACACTCCTTAGGTAAGTAAGCAGCCTGATGTTGTAATCTAGGTCCAGCCACTTCATCTACCCATTCCCACATTCCTCCAGGCCACGAAAACACTGCTTCTCTGCAACCACGCAGTTTTCATGCCCTCAGTAATCCCAATGGACTGTCCCTCACTGGAGAAATCCTGTACAGCTTCCAGGGCCAACTCAAGTGTTACTGATTCAGTGAAATGCTGCTGCTGCTGTCTAAAGAAAAGCAGTCCAGAGTCACTTCACTGTCAGGGCAGGAAGACAATTCAAAGGGCTGGAGAGAAGCTCTGTGTATGGGTTTGATCTCTGAGCACTGGGTCAAAAATAACCTGGTGTGCATCACCTGTTGTGCACCCTCAAAATATAGCACAGCGGGTAGGGCGTTCGCCTTACAAGCGGCCAACATGGCCGACCCGAGTTCGATTCCTCCGCCCCTCTCGGAGAGCCCGGCAAGCTACCGAGAGTATTCGATATGCCAGACACAGTAACCCTCAAAATAAATAAAATAAAATGAGTTACTTCCAAGTTTCAGCAATCCCATGCTTCTGATTATATATATAAACATATATATATATAAATTTTTGTCTAAATCAAAAATGAAAACTCATCAGATACCAAGCACCATCTTTAAGCACATAGAAACTCAATCACCCATCAGTTTTAAACAGCAGAATCCTAACTGATCTTTAAGGTGATGACACATCTTAGATAAAAATGCTGCAAACACTCTCCCCAGTCTCTCATCTACTGCAATTCCTCCACAAGGAAGCATTTTCAAATTCCGTTTGGGGCAATTCCTATCATTAGAGCAACTAGTAAATTAAGATGCTGGTTCAAACCACTGTTAACATTTTTCCCCTTCAAATGAAAGGTTTGGGTCAAATTACCAGTGGTTAAACTGCTTAATTACCCCGTTGTTTTAATTGTGAAATTTACAAGTCTGAAAGCCTCTGATTTTCACTAAATTCTAGTGCCCCCACCCCTACTTGTTGGTATCCTAGGTTTCTTCCTGTCACAATAACATGGCAGACTCCCAAGAGAAAAGGAACTCTTTTCATGGCAGAAGACACAAAACCCCAGGAATTCAGAAAAACACCCTAGAAGAAGGCTTTAAAAAACGTTTGGATTCAGCACAGGTGTGGGGTGCAATCACTGAAGGACTTCTCACAAACATCCCCTTTCCTTCCTCTCTGTCAGATCCACGGGTCATCAGTGCCCTTGTTTATCAAACTGGAGAGTAAACCCATCAATCTACACTGGAAAGAAACAACTTCATTGTCATTATTTCTCCTTCAAAACTGAAATAAGTATTTTTTTGTTTGTTTGTTTTTTTAAAGCAGGCCAACCGAGTTCGATTCCTCTGATCCTCTCGGAGAGCCTGGCAAGCTACCGAGAGGATCTCGCCCACACGGCAAAGCCTGGCAAGCTACCCGTAACGTATTCGATATGCCAAACACAGTAACAAGTCTCACAATGGAGACGTTACTGGGCCCACTCGAGCAAATCAATGAACAACGGGAGGACAGTGACACCTACAGTTTTAAAGCAGGGCTGTGCAGCAGGGAAAGAGCTAAAAACTCCTCCAGCCAAGAGCCTAATTACTGGCTATTCTCTCTATGGAGGCCCTCCCGTTGATCGTCGATTTGCTCGAGCGGGCCCAGTAACGTCTCCATTGGAGACTTTGTTGTTACTGTGTCTGGCATATCGAATACTCTCGGTAGCTGGAGGGCTGACGCTTCCCCACACCTGGTAAAGTGTCTGTTCAGTAAGTGCAGATTTAAGGTGCAGGGTGGGGAGGGGGGTTCTGCACGTGTTATACCTAGACAAATCTGCAATGATTTGGTCTTGGCAGCCACCTACTGTTTTTAAATTTTCTTTTCAAGCTTTTTTTCAGTTTTTCTAATTACAGTGAATTACTTGGATAGGAAAGTGCAGTGTCTGTGAGCCTACCTTTTGGCTCCTGCTGTAATGAGAAAATGCTGAGTTCCCTTCATTTAACCCCTTTTATTATCTATTTACTTCTACTCCTCTATACACGCTTAAGCCGGAAAAAACATGGTCATTTCAATCAGCCAATCCCTCAGGGACAGCAGCTGGAGCACCCAATTCCTGCAGAACACAGGGGTGACCGCAGGAATGGGGCACTGCTCCCTGCTCTGCTTTCCTGAAGATTCTGAATTTCATTCTTGAATTTCCGGCCTAATCTCTCAACTTGGGCCAGAGTGGCAAGGCACTTGCCTGTCTTGCATGTGGTAAACTATGGTTGATTCCCTGGCACCCCATAAGATTACCCCAAATACTGCCAGAGATCCCACCTGGACACAGAGACAGAAATAGCCCGTGAGCACTACTGGGTATGGCTCCAAGTCACCTCTGCCCATCACCCAAACTTTGAAGAAGTGAGTCAGAGAGACAGTACAGCAGATTGCTTTGCATGCAGCCCACCCAGGTTCAATCCTAGCACCACTTATGGCGCCCAGTTGTTCATCGAATGGGTAGTCAATGTTTTGCTGTCAGTTTTTTTGCCTTGTCATATGACCAACCCTGGTTTGATTCTTTTTTTTTATGTAGGAGTACTGCTATTTATTCAGCCACTGATTAGCTCATTGAATTGTGCATGAACTCCACCTTACTTTTTTTTTTTCATTTTTATAATTTTATTTATTGAATCACTGTGAGAGCAGTTACAAAGCTTTCGGGTCTAAGTCTTGGTCATATAATGGAACACCCGTACTTTCACCAGTGCCCATTCTCCACCACCCAAAACCCCAGTATACTCCCATCCCACACCCTCCCCCTACCTGTGGGGCAGATGATTTCCACATTACTCTCTCTCTACTTTGATCACATTCAATATTTCGACACCAGACCCACCATTATTATTTGAGATTTTACCCCAACACTCAGATCTGCTGAAAAGGCAACAGTAGACAATTTGTGTTCTATTGCTGGTTATGAATAACATATCATGTCGCGTGACTGCAGTAGGGTCATGTGATTTTGAAATTCTGAAATTTTAACACTTAAATCTGGAGGGATTTCTGCCAAAAGTCACTGGGTTTAGAGATTTGCTCTTGAGTCCCTGGGATCATGGCCCTTGAGCAGCTTGATCAGGAGCCAGAGAGGCCGTTCGTGGGCGATGACTTGGGGTCTCGCTGGGGTGGGGAGGACAGGCCCGGCTCCACCCCCATCCCGTGAGGCCCAACAAGTTTCGTCACTGCGGGCCCAAGCCTGACTGTCCAATGGCCTCTGGAGGATGACAGCACCAAGCCACCAGGGGAAGCAGGTGGAGGGACAACACCCTGTCCCCCCCGGGGTGGCACCATAGCCCCGAAACACTCCTTTAGACTGCCACAAAACTTACTATTTGGGTTTCCTCATACCATTTTGGCCAACCTTTTTTAACTTCATTAGCCATTTCTTCCACCTCTATCTAATTTTTACATTTTTATTTATCTTTCACATTGCCTAGGATCAAACCCAGGCCTCACATATGTAAGGCAAGTGTCTCATTGACGAGCCATCTACCGGCCCTTTAATATGAGAGCCCTTAATGCCTGGTTCTTGTGCCTCTTTCCCCAGATAATCTCATTCATTCCCACAGCTTCAATTAAAATCAATAGGATGGTTTCTGCATTTACATTTTCAACCCAGTCCTGTATTTTGAGCTCAAAGACTGTGTATGCAACAGAAAGCTTAAAATAGCCTCTGCACAGGCACGCCAACTCAACATGTACAAAACCAGACAAAAAATTCTTTCCCTCTTAGTTGTTCAATTTAAGGCCGTATTTGAATGTATTCAAAGTAATAAATATTTAGGCTTTTTAAATTGTAATTTAAAAATTATAATTGTAATTTATACTCAGCTCCCGGGAGAGAACAAGGCAGAGTCTTCTACCCTGTGCCTGACTGTCCTCACCAGGGCCCAACAGCTGAAGACCTCCAGGCCCCAGCCAAAGCCATGCTGGGACCACGCTCCACACACTTGGATGAGCCTCACGCATAAAAGAACTGGCAGAGGAACCCAGGTGTGTGGGACCTGGGGCTGAGATCTCCAAACCTGCAAGGTTTGGGACTGGACCTGCCAGTAGCTAGACAGTTACACCCACCAACTGCCATGTAACCCCAACAACGGCCAGGATCCAGAGATTATCACACTCAGCTCCCGACATCTTATCATCTCATTCCTACTTTGGACAAACTGGCAGGCTACCGAATGTAACCTGCCCACACGGCAGAGTCTGGCAAACTCCCCGTGGCGTACCCAATATGCCAAATACCAGCAACAATGAAGGGTCTCATTCTCCTAACTCTGAAAGAGCCTTGAATATGGCACTTTTTTTTAAAAAATCTCAGGGCTAGGACGAAGGAGACATTACTGGGGCCTGCTCGAGGCAATCGACGAATAACAGGATGGTTGTGATTGTGATTGAAATTGTAATGGAAACATGTTCACTAAAGATTAAGTAGAAAAGTGCAGATTCTAAAGTATTCTCTATCATTTATGACAATTATTCCCAGACCCAAAAATACATAACGTCTTCTGTAGTCAATTTAAGACAACTGTGCTTTTCCCTTGAAGGGTGAACCCTGTGTGCAATGCCTGCAGACAACAGGTAGTTTTTCTGCTGCCTCTTGTCTGTGTGGGCTGTCCTAAGGGTCCTTGGAGACAGACTTTACCAACAGACATTCCTATCTGCTGTTCTTCAGGCTGTTCCCAGTCTTAGGCTCCTGACAGGTATATACATCACATGTTCTACAGAACAAGGAACTCATGAATCTAGGCAGTGGGTTCACTGTGTTCTATATATATCTATATACATTTGTGTTTCTTTTGGGGCTCAGGGCTTACTCTTGGCGCTATGCTCAGAAATCACTCATGGACGGGCTTGGGGGACCATATGGGGTGTCGGGCATCCAAGTAAGGCGCAAGTACTAATTGGACAAGTGCTTTACCATCTCTTTGACTCCCATGATACTATTCTTAAGGGGAAAAATATTTCTTGTAAGTTTCCAAATGACAAAGACTTAATTGTGTGACCCCCTAGCAACTGAAATATAGCCTGGTATAATATGTGTTGAGATGAATAAAAAGAAAACTATATTCAATTGTTTTAGGGGTTTTTTTTGGGGGGGGGTCTGGGGTTACTCCTGGCTCTGCACTTAGGGATCACTCCTGGTGGGACTCAGGAGGCCATATAGGGTGCCAGGGGTTGAACCCAGGTCATTGCATACAAGGTGAGCGTCTGATGTGCTATACTATCACTCTGGCCTCAAGACAAGGGGGTTTTTGAGGGATTGGAGCAATAGCACAGAGGGTAGGGAGTTTGACTTGCATGCGGCCAACTCAGGTTCGATTCCCAGCATCCCATATGGTCCCCCGAGCACCACCGAAAGTAATTCCTGAGCGCATGTGCCAGAAGTAACCCCTACGCAATGCCGGGTGTGACCCAAAAAGCAACAAAATAAAAAGACCATATTTGAGATGCTGGGCTTTGGGATTGATGAAAATGTTGATTTGCTATACACTGAGCCATCTTCTGAAATAATTAACAAACATACAGCTGCTTAGACTCTGCCAGGAATATTTTAAACACTCAGTAAATGTTCGTTTCCTTCCTTCTTCCAATTCCTTGCCTTCAATACTCTTTATTTATTTATTGTGATTTGGGGTCAATGTCACCTGGGTTCTGGGCACCCAGGGGGATGCAAGGAATCTACCCAGGATTGGCTGCATGCAAATCAACTTCCTTACACTCTTTCCCTTTAACCCCATTTAATCAAAGGGCAGATATCATTACAATCCAATAACAGCTATTAAATATGTCACAAAATGACAAAAAAAAAAAAAGGCAAATACACTGGTTGAGACAGAAACAAATTCATTAAGTTAGATTGAATGGACATTCAACTTGGATAAAATATTGTAAGGAAAACCATAATCTGGTAAAAGACAGACAGGAAAGCAAATCTGGAACAGCAGCAATAAATAAATAAATAATTAAATGATCAAAGGGCTGGAGAGCTAGTATAGAGATTAACTCAGTGTTCTATTCCCATGCACTGAAGAGTTCCCCAAGCCAGGGTTGAAAGTAGCCCCTAAACACCAGCAGGTAACCCCCACACCAGAAAAATGATAATAAAACTTATTTTTTAGCACTTTATCTCATTTAATCTTGAAATAACTCACTGTAGCTCGTATTATAATTATATAGTTGGGCTTTTTTTAATAAAAATATTTAAGTCAGGAAAGTAAGCTACAAAGAGGTAACTAAAAAAGTCAGAGAAGTTATAGAATAAATATGGGATAGAGCTGGAATCCAAATGTTCTACAGAGCACTTGTTCTTAACCACTGTTTTATGTTCTCACCTGTGATGCTAGTCCATGTGGGCAGGGTTGCAGGGTTTAGCAGGGAGGGGATTTGGTCCTGTCCACTACTCTTAAAGATATGTTAGGCATTCTTCTAGAACAGTATTTAAGAGAGTGTTAGAGGACACTTAAAGCAGACAGACTACTTTGGGAAATACCTGCTTACCTGCAGAACAGATGGGATTTTCTCCAGCAGTTCTGACCCTAAAGAGGGAGAATGTATGTTGTATAAATAAGATAGTCATACTTTATTTGCACAATCACCATAATTTGTAGGGTCCTCATTAAAGGAAATCTGCCAAAGCTAGATAGTTCCTTCTTCTTCTTTTCCCATTTTCTTTCCACAAACATATTTATTGACTATGTATCAGACAATGTACTAGGTTTCTTAAACAATATACATATATATATTTATAGAAAGATTAAAAAACATATATACATATATATATATATATATAATTGGATTACACAGCGCCAGGGGGCCAGTTGGTGGGTGTGACCCCTGCCTACTGGAATTTGGAGGATCTGGGTGGAGGATGCTCTGCCCCGATCTGAGCAGGCTTGGAGATCTCAGCACCGGGACCCGCATGCCTTTGTTCCTCTGCCGGTACCTTCATGCGTGTGGAGAGGGGTCTCAGCATGGTGGTGGCTGGTTCTGGAGGTCTTTGGCTGCCGGAGCCTGGTCGGGACGGGGAGGGAAACTCAACCCGCTCCCACCAAGGGGCCGCGGCGAGGACAGCCAGGCGTGGGGGCAGGAGACTCTGCGCTGTTCTCTTCCAGGAGCTGGGTTTTATAGTCTCTGGGTCTTGGCCGTTGATGGGAGAACAGCGCAGAGTCTCCTGCCCCCACACCTGGCTGTCCTCGCTGGGGCCACTTGGTGGGAACGGGTTGAGTTTCCCTCTCCGCCCCGACCAGGGCTCGGCAGCCGAAGACCTCCAGAACCAGCTACCACCATGCTGAGACCACTCTCCACACGCATGAAGATACCGGCAGAGGAACAAAGGCATGCGGGTCCCGGGGCTGAGATCTCCAAGCCTGCTCAGATCGGGGCAGAGCATCCTCCACCCAGATCCTCCAAATTCCAGTAGGTAGGGGTCACACCCACCAACTGGCCCCCTGGCGCTGTGTAATCCCATCAACGGCCAAGACCCACAGACTATAAAACCCAGCTCCTGGAAGTGCGTGGCTGCATTTGCGGCCGCATGACATCTTATTATCTCATTCCTACTTTGGACAAACTGACAGGCTACTGAATGTAACCTGCCCACACGGCAGAGTCTGGCAAACTCCCCATTGCGTACCCAATATGCCAAATACCAGTAACAATGATGGGTCTCATTCTCCTAACTCTGAAAGAGCCTTGAATATGGCACTTTTTAAAAAATCTCAGGGCTAGGACGAAGGAGATGTTACTGGGGCCTGCTCAAGGCAATCGAGGAATAACAGGATGGTCGTGATTGTGATATAAAATTGGGGGGTGGCCATGCCTGGTGGTGCTCAGGGCTTACTCCTGGCTCTGTGCTCAGACAGAGCCAACAAGGTTTGTTAAAATATTGGATACAGGGGCTGGAGCAATAGCATAGCAGGTAGGGTGTTTGCCTTGCATGTGGCCAATCCGGGTTCAATTCCCAGCATCCCATGTGGTCCCCTGAGCAACGCCAGGACTGATTCCTGAGTGCAGAGCCAGGAGTAACCCCTGTGCTTGTGTGACCCCCCCCCAAAAAAAAAATGGATACAGAGTGAGAAAAACAACAGTATAAGAAATAACTCCAAGGACTGTGACCTGAGCAACTTCATAAGTGTTTTCCAAAGTGGGTGATATCTCCCAGGAGGCAATGGGATGACGGCCTTGGATGCAACTGGGTAATGCCATCTGTTTGTTCACTCAAAAAAAGTAGATTTCCAGAAAGGCGATGAGTGATTTCTTTTCTTAAGGGGGGAGAGGGGTGAGGGGCCATAGGCGATAGGTATAAGTTTGGGGAGCTCTAAAATAGATAACATAAATAGATTTGCCATTTACTAAGAATGAGATAGGAGCAAGATGGCACGGAATGTAATGCTTGAAATGCAAACAGAACCGATGAAAGAAAATTTACTCTCTGAGCATGCACAGGGCCCCAGGTGCAATCCCCAGCACCACACAGCTCCCTGAGGTGGACTGCATCGCCTCCAGCACTACGACGGAAGTCCAAAAACAAAAAGGAAGACACCAAATGAAAATGATCTCTGAACAACCTAGCAGAGCATAAATATTAACTAGATTTCATTGTTGTTATTACTGCCCCCTTACCTTAAAATGGAAAAGGCTTGCTTACAAATTGTTCCATTTCTCAGATACAGCACCTACAACAAAAACAATCAGGTTGTGACAATCTCAATCATTCATAATTTCAAGCACCTCTTCACAAAGAGCCTCACAGTCAAACAAACCAAAAAGTGCCCAAAGGTTCATATACAGTAAAGAAGTTGCCTTACATTAATACCAAATATGCAGGCAAATTTAGGTTCTTTTATCTCCTATTCTACACTGTCAGAAATGCTCAAAAAAATATAAGTCCCATTCTTTGGTACTTTTTCCCTTTTATCCTTTTCTCCTTCCAAATTCAATCATTTTTTCATTTTCTTCTGTTAAACTATTGATCAGTATCAACTGGTAACTATTACATAACTGCCAAACACACACACACACACACACACACACACACACATACACACACAACAGCACACAACAGGTAAGGGGCTTTCTATTTTTTTGTTGTTGTTGTTTTTGGTTTTTGAGCCACACCTGGTGATGCTCAGGGGTTACTCCTGGCTCTGCACTCAGAAATCATTCCCGGCAGTGCTCCAAGGACCATATGGGATGTCAGGGATCGAACTCAGGTTGGCTGTGTGCAAGGCAAGTGCCCTCTCCCCTGTACTATCACTCTGCTCCCTGGTAGGGGGTTTTCTTAATGCTTCCCTGATTCTCAAAATTGCAAGGCAAAACAGAACCCAGAGAGGTCATGTTCCCAAAATCATAGTTAATAAGGACTGTTTCATTCCAATGGTTATGACTATGACAGCATACTGTCTCTCTTAACAATGATGATGGGGAATGGAGCAATAGCACAGCGGGTAGGGTGTTTGCCTTGCACGCGGCCGACCCAAGTTCAAATCCCAGCATCCCATATGGTCTCCTGAGCACCACCAGGGGTAATTCCGGAGTGCAGAGCCAGGAGTAACCCCTGTGCATTGCCAGGCATGACCCCAAAAAAGCAAATAATGATAATAATAATAATGGTGATGATAATGATGGACCAGAGAGATTCCATGTAGGAATCCTCATTTCAATCTCCAGCAGTACATGGTCTCCCAAGCACCACCAGGAGCACTTGAGCAGAGAGCAAAAAGCCTCTGAGCACCACTGGGTGTAGGGCTCAACCCCCCCCCCATGCCTCAATAAACAATAACAAAAATGATGCCACACCAATAAAACAGAGAAAAAAAGAAGCCGAGACAGCTGCAGTAGCAGTTTCCTCCCTCAAACTCCCCTCTCCCGGTTCTTTCCATCTTACTTTGCCTTATTGGCATTCAACAAATGCTGCTCCACATACAGCGTGCAGCTCTGCTAGCGGCACACCGAGCAGAGAGGTGGTCTTCTAGTGAGAACGAGTCACTACAGAACTTACATACCCTGTTTTTAAGGGATGCCGGCACATTTCTTTGAACGCTTCATAAGGCTACACCCCACTTTCTTAACACCTCCCCCAAATTAACATAACATCTATGCTGAGGACTAGAGAGATTGTACAGAGTAAGGTTCTTTCCTTGCTCACGGTCAACGCAGGTTCAATTCCCAGCACCACATGTGGTACCACAAACACAGTCAGGAGTGATTCCTCACCCCAGAGCCAGGAACAAACCCTGAGCACCACCAAGTATGGCCCCAGAACCACAAAATAAGAGAACCAAAAAAGAAATATATATAGTAAAAAAAAAATTAATTAGCAATAATATCAGTTCATTAATGATGAACCAATGTATCATACTAACATTAGCTAATAATAGGGAAGACTGGATATATAGGAATCCTCTGTACTATCTTTGCAATAATTCTGTAATTCTAAAACTGTTCTAAAATAAAGCTGATATAGCTCCATGACAGAAAGCTATTCAGTGCATGTATGACGTTCAATTTCCCAATACACACACTCATGCATGCGCGTGCACGCGCACACACACACACACACACACACACACACACACACTTCAACCCTAAAACAGTTCATTTATTCTTAATTTGGGGAGGCCATACCTTGTGGTGCTCAGGGTCTATTGCTGGCTCTGGGCCCAATAGTCACTCCGGGCACTGCTCTGAAACCATATGCCATGCCAGGGATCAAACCCAGGTCAGCCACATACAAGGCAAGCACCTTACCGCTGTATATCTCTCTGGCCTCAAACAACATAACAAATTATATTTGTTGTTTTTAATTTTTTAAATTGATTTACAATATTGGTAATGGTAGGGTTTCACGCATGACATACCACGAGTGCCTACTGCTCTCCACTACTGTCGCAGTAGGCCCTACTATCCTATTCCCCCTGACCACTTTTTGTTTGTGGGCCACTCCTGGTGGTGCTCCGAGCCTACTCCTAGTTTTGTGCTCAGGAATCACTCCTGGCAATGATCAGGGAACCAAATGCACTGCCAGGGACTGAACCTGGGTTATACATGGCAAGTGCCCGACCGTCTGTATTAATTCTGCTGCTCTGCTGCCATCAAGGTTTTTTTGTTTTGTCTTATTTGGGGGCCATACCCGACAATGTTCAGGAGTAACTCCTGGTTCTGGACTCAGGAAGTATTCCTGGAGGGACACAGGGGACCTTCGGGGATGTTGGGGAGTTGGCCGCATACAAGGCAAACACCCTACCTGTATTAAAACCTGTACTATCGCTCCAGCCCAGCCTTCAAGTTTTCTAAAAGCCTATTAAATACCAACTGCTGCACTAAATAGAAAAGGGATATTAGAAACTATAACAACTTGAATACACCTTGAAAACATCACATTAATGAAAGAAACCACAAAGGACCAAGTACTGCACATTCCATGTATTTGAAGTATCTAAAACAGACAAGAGCATTTTAGAAAGAAAGCTTACTTAGAGTTAGAGGATCTAGGGAGCTGGGGGTACAAGGTTTCTTTAGAGGGTAATTAAAACTCTAAAATCGACACTGCTGAGTTTTGCATGACAACTTCAAATATGCTACAAGTCGCTGTACACCTTACATGGGTGAAATGTGTGGCATGTGAGTTTATCTCATTCAAGCCATTTCAAAAATGTAAGCAGAGGGTCAGAGGGATAGTCGCAAGCAAGTGCTGAAGTACATGTTTTACGTGTGAGAAGCCTGGGGTTGATCTGACACTGTATGGTCCCCCAAGCATCACCGGGAGCAATTTCTAAACACTGAAGCGGGAATAGCCCCTACCCACTCCCCAAGCGCTGCCAGTGTGACCCCAAAACAGAACAAATGAAAAAGATGTGGGTAGGAGACAAAAATATACTTTTAGGGCCAGAGTTAGAGCTTAGTGGGTAAGCACATACTTGCATAGAGGCCCAAGTTCCAGATCCAGTACCATACGGTCCCTGCTGGGAGCAGCCCCCAGCACTGCTGGGTGTGGTCCAAACCCAAAACGGGCCAGAGAGATAGAACAGCAGGTCAGATGCTTGCCTTGCAAAAAGTTGACCTGGGTTCCATCTCTGACATCCCATACAGTCCCGTGAACCCTGCTAGGAAGTGAGCAGAGCCAGGAGTAAGCTCTGAACACTGTCCAACAGGCACCAAAAGCAACAAAAGAAAATTTGCAAAATGTCCTCCAAAGAACATGAAGTCCTGGAGACTGGAAAGGATGTGAATAGGCACAAGGGAGGGCAAAGGGCACTGCAACTAGAAGTGAAAGAACATGGAGAAGTATGTTCACACCCACCACCTGGCCCCCTGGCGCCGTGTAATCCCATCAACGGCCAAGACTCCGGGACTATAAAATCCAGCTCCCGGACGAGAACAGAGCAGTCTCCTGCCCCCGCGCCTGGCTGTTCCTCGCCAGAGCCCCTTGGAGGGGAGCGGGTTGAGCTTTCCTCCCCGCCCCGACCAGGGCTCCGGCAGCCGAAGACCTCCAGGACCAGCCGCCACCATGTTGAGACCACTCTCCGCACACATGAAGGTACTGGCAGAGGGACAAAGCCACGCGGGTTCCGGGGCCGAGATCTCCAAGCCTACTCGGATTGGAGTCAAGCATCCTCTACCCAGATCCTCCAAATTCCAGTAGGCGGGGGTCACACCCACCACCTGGCCCCCTGGCGCCGTGTAATCCCATCAGCGGCCAAGACTCAGAGACTATAAAATCCACCTCCCGGAACCGCGCGGCCGCATTTGCGGCCGAGCGACATCTTATCAGGACATCTTTTTATGACATCTTATTATCTCATTCCTACTTTGGACAAACTTGCAGGCTATCGAATGTAGCCTGCCCACAGGGTAGAGTCTGGCAAACTCCCCGTGGTGTACCAAATATGCCAAATACCAGTAACAATGATGGGTCTCATTCTCCTAAAGAGCCTTGAATATAATCTCAGGGCTAGGATGAAAGAGACGTTACTGGGGCCTGCTCGAGGCAATTGACGAATAACAGGAAGATGAATGAATGAATGAACGAAATATTGGGCTAGCCTGAAAATCTAGGGGAGGGAACAACCTCGGGAGGGAAGAGTTCTGGCTAACTTCCCGCTTCCCGCATAAACCACGGTAGCTTAGCTCTTTCCTCCCCTCTCTGGGAAGAGCAGCCGGGGCCGGAGAGACAGCTGAACAGGCTGAGTACACACTCTGCATGTGGGAGACCTGTGTTCCAGCCCCAACACCGCAGTCTCCCGAGCACAGAGCCAGGAGCCACCCCTGAACACAGAGCTGGGAATAGTCCCTGAGCACAACCAGGTGTAGCCCAAAACCAAAGAGACAGGGAAAAGAAAAAGAAAGAGCAAAGGGCTCTTATGGCTCTTAAATTCTTCCCAGGCCTAAGATCTATCAAATATGACAAACAGAAAGAAATAGATTCTTAAATTGGTCACTTCATACAGAAGCGGCATTGTCTGAGGAGAAAGCTCTTGATGGACTCATTTCTCTTTAATTGTTCAGATTTCTCTACAAAAGCTAAAGATTTAATTACCTAAAAGCCAGTCCTAAGGGTTGACAATTTTCTGGAAGACATTCAAATTATGGTGTAAAATCTCCCTTTTCAGCACTGGAAAATGTGCTTCCTCTCCCTGCAATGCTTGGCATTATTTATCCGGACAAAAGTCATCTA